TTGCCCAGCAAGAAATTGGGACCAAAGTTCTTGGGGCCTTTTCCCATAGTTAGGATCATCAACCCAGTCACAGTAGAGCTAAAACTCCCTAAACTCTTAGGGAAAATTCACCCAGTTTTCCATTGTAGCTTGTTGAAGCCATATCGGGGCTCCACGTTAAGACCTCCTCCAAAGAAGGCACCTGGGCCCCTCGTGGTTGTGGGACAGACCCACTATGAAGTAAAGCGTATTCTTGACTCTAGAATTTTTAGAGGGAAATTGCAGTATTTAATACAATGGAAGGGATACCCGTTGTCCGAAGCCACCTGGGCGAAATCCAGTGAAGTAAAGGCTAATAGATTGGTCAAAAGGTTTCATGTGAAACACCCCAACAAACCGAAAGATGACCCTTAACATATGCTTTGGTTTGCTTTACACGATCTGTCTTTTTTGTAAGGGGGGCCGGATGTCAACGCTGCAAATACTGTATATTCTTGCTTTGACAATGTGCAGAACTGTCTGGTATTTATATAGTTAAACCAGCAACCAGGAAAGAGGGAGGAGCATGAGGATAGCCTGGGAGAAAGAAACCGGAAGTAAATCACATCTTCCAAGTACAATAAGGGAGTGGAAAATGTTTGGAATGTTATGCGTAACGGAAGAGAAGCAGATCTAAGCATTCCACCATGCTGTGCTGACGTATTGTAATCTTAATAAATGCTTTTAGAAGAAAAAATGCCTGAAAGTCCTTTTAAGTGTTTCGTTACTCAGACACATGACACCTCCCCTGTCCACTCTCTCTCCCTTTTCTTTTATTCAGCTTTCATTGAAAGCAGATGGTGGTTTTCCTGACTCAAGCAAAGAAGATTTTCCAGAAGGCCACCCCTTAAGGGGACACCATATTAATCCTTAAAATGCTACTTACTCTACACACAGTTCTTAATTTCTAAGCTAGCTATATACTCTGACCAGATGGCTATATACTCTGACCAGCACACTCCCCACCTGGAATTATACAATTTCCACTATTAACTAACTATAACTAAGATAAGCAAAAACATAGCATCAAAACAATGCAATTATGAGGTAAATACAAAACATGCATAACTTGTGGTTCAATCTTCAAGTTCGGTCTTCTTCATCAGCAGTACCAAGTCGGTGATCGGTCTGGTGTAAAGCCTTTTAACAAGAGTCTTTGAGTCATGATCTGACTCTTGTGGCTTCGTGATCTGGACTGCAACTTGGCAAACTAGTCCATCAGAGCTGGGAAGGACTTGGTGCACAAGTCCCATGGGCCTAGAGTTCCGATGTGCGTCCTTGTCTCTCAGCAAGACAAGGTCTCCTTCTAGGTTAGGCTCTTTGGTCTTCCATTTGTGGCGATCCTGAAGGATAGAAAGTATTCTTGTTCCATCGCTTCCAGAAGGTGTTGGTGAGCAGTTGAACTTGTCTCCATTCTTGTTTGTACATATCTTTGGGAACAAAGTTCCCTAATGGTGCTGGCCAGTTGCCTGTCTTCTGGGGTTAGCAAGGCAGCCGGGGTGAGAATAGTTGGATTTTCAGGATCTGAGGAAACTGGAACCAAAGGTTGAGCGTTGATGATAGCTGCTATTTCTGCCACGAGCGTCAGAGTGGGTGTCTTCGTCAACGTAGAGTCCAGGATTTTGCGGGCTACGCCAATCATGCGCTCCCACGCTCCTCCCATGTGGGATGCATGGGGAAGATTGAATGTCCATACACAGTTTTGGGCCTTTAGATATTTATCAGTTACTGGGTCATGGCGAATGCCTTCATTAATCTGTAGTTCTTTGCAGGCTCCTACAAAGTTAGTTCCTTGGGTGCTAAGACATGTGAATAGGACGATCACTGCTATGCCCAATATGAGGGGTCTCCGTTTGGAGGAGCGTTCAAAGCGGGCTGGTTCTAGGAAATGGTTAGAGGACGGTTTCTTTGTCTCCTTGACCATTGTTGACAAGAAGATGGTCTGGACAGTTGTTTTCTCGTCCTGTCTGAGCGATTTGCTGGGTGCCTGAGGTTGCACGTCGGCATCTGGATCTGGATCTAGAAGCTCATAGTATTCTGGTCCCTGTGACATCAGGCTGTCTGGACAAGCTAAGAACTCAGGACCCTTTAGCCAGATCGATTCTGCCAACTGTGATGCAAGAATGGACCGCGTAGCCTTGTCCGCAGGGTTCTGATCTGTTGGCATATACTGCCATTGCTCAGGACTTGAAGATCTTTTAATCCTTTCTACTCTATTGCTTACGTAGACGTAGAAGCGTCTGTTTTGGTTGTGGATGTAGTCCAGTACCACCTGTTCATGTAGAAGGTGGTGGATTGTAGCTCAAGGTCTATCATTTTTGTTGTCAGATTGGTGAGTTTTACGGCCAGTACGGCACTGCAGAGTTCCAACCTTGTTATGGTGTGACCTTGTTATGGTGTTAGTTTCGCCTTTCCCATAGCGAAACCGACGTAAATGTGGCTCTCCCCACTGTAGACTCTGATGTATCCTATGGCTGCTATCGCCTCCATTGACGCATCTGAGAAAGCATGCAATTCTTTCCTTTGTGCGGCGGCGGGTGAGATGAAGACATACGTGTGTCGCACGCGGATGCTTTGGAGACAACCTAGGGATGTACGCCATGTCTCCCAGTCTTGCTTCTGTTCTAGCGGAAGCGGCTCATCCCAGTCTGTGGTGTTCTGGGAGAGCATGTGTAGCTGCAGAAATTCTTTGATCTGCTTCTGCCGCACTTAGAGCTGCATTTGCCATTTCTTCCCTTAGCAGTTGCTCTGCTTTTGCCATATGTAGGGCTGCATTGGCTGTTGCGGCATCGATTTGTGCTAGTGCAGCTTGAGCGGTGAAGCTCTCTGCTCTGGAAACTCGGGACGAATGGCTATGACGAGAAGATGCTTTGGAGTGACTGGAGGTACCTAAGACAGAAGGTTGCTGTGACACTCTGGAACACGCCTTAGGCAATTGTGAGTTATGATGAAAGGACGAGGCTTTCTTTGAGGCGTGAGAGGAAGCCACATGGAATCGCTGGGATGGTGCATGCGAACGATGGGACGCTTCGGGCTCGGCCTTCTCTGGTGTGTCCTTCGCCTGAGGTTTGGCTTGGAGAGACTCCTTACTGCTTTGTAGTAACTTCTCGCGTTCCTTGTTTATCAGCTTGAATTTATCTACCTTTGATCTCCGCCTGCATGCCTTTCTCTGCCTGCCAGAGAGTAAAATAAAAATAAAAATAAAGGAGTAGATTGTATCCTAGCTCTAAGTAAAGGAAATGAAAAGAGCTAACATCTCAGCATGCCTCAGTAAGAAAGCCTGTGTGTCCAACTGTTCCTCCCCCCGTTTCTGCCTTCCTATTGTAAAGAGTCAATTTAGAAAGGAGATGTGTGTATTTTGAATCTTTACTGCCTAGCTAAACGAAGAGAGAAACACTTAATATTCTTTTACTTTCCTGACTCAAGCAAAGAAGATTGCTGGATTTCACTTGAAACAGGCAGAATCAACTCAACGGATGAATCATACAAATTACTTTATTCTAGGCATCCTCAAGACATTAACTCACAGTTATTGCAGAAATTCCTCTGGAATGCAGATTGTAATCGGGACCCATCGCATAGGTAAAAGGATAATAGATTTCCCCATTCTAACGGAGCTCCTAACCCTCGTGGCTAGGATTCATGGAGAGATAATAGACTGGCACATAAACAGGATATCCCGTAATAAAAACACAAGTCCCTCCCAGTGGCCAGTTAGAACACAGATCTGACCAAACAACTAAATTACATTTCCCAGAAGGCCACCCCTTAAGGGGACAGCATATTAACCCTTAAAATGCTACTTGCTCTACACACAGTTCCTAATTCCTAAGCTAGCTATATACTCTGAGCAGATGGCTATATATTCTGACCAGCACAGTGGTGTTGGCACTTTTATGTTTCGTATCTCAAACAATTGTGGTGATATTGTCTGCCAGTCCCCCTGCAACCTGATCCCTTTGCTAGTTTGGCAGAGAAGGTATCCATGTGGCAGCAGTTGGCTTTTGGTTGTTCCCAGGGTTCATTTAAATGATCCTTTTTAGTTATTGCTTGGCTCTTGAGGATCCAATGCTTTAGATCAGAGGTCCCCAACCTATGGGCCACGGCCCACTACTAGGCCGTGGCCTCTTGGCCGCTGGGCCGCATGAGTAGCTGGGCAGTGCACACGTGTGTGCGTGTGCTCACTCCCCTTGTGCCACCATTGCCGCAAGTGTGTGGGCAGCGGCAGCCCTGGTAGTATTGCATGAATGGCGGCAGCGCCATAAGCAGCAGATGGGCCGCAGTGAGATCCTCACGCTGGGGCGGTGGCACGATCCTTACGCCGGGGGTGGCATTGCTTCAGGCTGCGGCGTGAGCCTTGTGCAGGGGCAGCGGCGTGAGCCTCATCTGGGGGCGGCAGTGCAGTCCTTGTGCTGGGGGCAGCATCACTGTGGGCCACGGCATGAGCCTTGCATGGGGGTGGCAGCGCAAGCCTCGTGCCGGGGTGGCATTGCTGTGGGCCACAGCATGATCGCACTGGTGGTAGCATCGCCATGAGCCTGGAGGCGGCAGCGCCACAAGCCTCACACAGGCACCACCATAGCTCAGAGCCTCGCGCGCAGGCTCGCAGTCCCATTTGCATGGTGCACATGCTCACAGCCTGTTTGTACATGCACGTGCACGTGTGGCCACATTCACGTTTGCGCATGTACGTGTAAGGTGCCTGCCCCTCCCTCTCCCACTGGACCACCAAAACAAAAAGATTGGAGATCCCTGCTTTAGATCAGCTGTACTCCAACAAGCTTCCTCAGATGTACTAGGCTGCAAACCCCATCATCCCCTACCAGCACTCCCATTCCTTCTGGGTGTTGGCTTAATATTCTGAGACTTAGTTGCCCCAAACCTCAAGACCCCAGCATGGGAAGTGACTCTGGTTCTCAAGCAGAGATGGACAATCTTTCTCTATTAGGGTAGCATGCCATTCTCCCAGGGACAGGTTTTCCAGGCTACGTGAAGGGATGTGCAGGGCAAGGAGAGATAGTGGGGAAGAGGGCCAAAACTGGATGGGACATCCATTCTTTTTCTATGTCCATTCCTTTTTTTCTCTCTATAAAGGTAGCCCTTGACTTACAACCACAACTGAGTCCAAACTTTCTGCCGCTAAGCAACATGGTTGGTAAGTGAGTTAGATTTGGCAAGCGAAGTTGATCTCTCTTTCCTCTCCCTCCTGCATAAATGTGGTGCTATGTGTACATGCCAAGTTCCGCCAGTAGTAAGAATTCTCTGGAATGCAGAAAAAAAATCTCCTGTGCTCAGTGTTTGGCTGTCTTCCAGATTGTCACTCAGCTGAAGACCCAGCCCTCTCTCGGAGGTCTATTTAAAGATGAGTTTGAGTTCATTACTGTTCAGAAGGCAACAAAGAGGGATGCCCAGAGCAGGAAGTTCAGGATGTTTGACAACTCTGGGGCAATCATTATTCTGACCTTCTTTTCATTGGTTCTTGTACTGGATGGGTATGTACTGTATATTTCTATGAAGATATAGCAATGGAAATGGGAGGGTGTAGACTTCTCAAAAGTGCTATTTTGAAAGGCAACTGGACTGTTTTTTTCCCCTTGAGGAAGAAGAACAAAATGTTTCATTTCTCATCCAAGAAACTTCATCAGTTGTGAAGTTGTAAAATTCATCAGTTGTGAACTGATGAAGTTTCTTGGACACTTTTGAGACAACTATGACCTGGATGATTGAGAATCTCCACAGAAATTTCTCCATTTCTTGGATATGATGAGATGTGGTGCTGGCGACCAGCTTGGCTGGCTTCAGAAAAGAGCTAGACCAATACATGGAAGTTCTGGGAATCTGTGGCTATTAGTCTTGCTGTGATTGCTTCTGAAGGATATCTGCTAGGAGACTTGTGGCTTCCGTGTGCAGTTGATTGGCCACTGTGAGAACAGACAGCTGGATGAAATGGGCCAGGAGTCCAATCCAGCAAAGTGTTGCTTATGTCCTTATGAAGAAGGAGCAAAGCGTAATAGTAGGCTTTTTGTATGGAAAAATCCCCAGTTGGTTATCAACCATTTCCAGGTCAGGCTGGGTTAAAGGCTTTTTCTGATGCCCTGCAAAACTGCCGCTGTTCAGTTCAAGCATTATTGATCTAGGACAGGGGTAGGCAACCTTGGCTCTTTTATGACTCATGGTGTTCAACTCCCAGAATTCCTGAGCCAGCATGGCTGGCTCAGGAATTCTGGGAGTTGAAGTCCATGAGTCATAAAAGAGCCAAGGTTGCCTACCCCTGATCTAGGAGGATCTTCACCTAGTTTTCCATTAAATGTTTTGCAATAGCTTAGCGATAGATCCCCTTGCTTTGCCTGGTACAGTCTCCTAGGTTCAATGCTGAGCACCTCTAGTTTTTCTTTGTGAGAGATGTTCAGGTAGTAGGTGAAGGAAAGTCTTCTCTTGCCTTGAAGTCTCCAAAGTCAGCTGTTAAGTATGGTAAGAGAAGATAGAGGGACAGATAAGCTTACTGCAAATGTTCCAGAAAGCTAATATTATGTTTTTTTTAATGGAAATTGATCCCTGCCCAAGCCTCCTTGATCAACCAAACTCTCCCAATGTGGAATATAAATTCAAGAAATATGCTATTATTGTTGTTATTGTCATGGCATTGTTTTTTTATAGTAGCATCATCAACAATGCAGGGTGTCTTACTATGAAGAAGAAAACAAGTCTTCAAGTGCTTAGGGCAGAGGTGTCCAACCTTGTGGACTTCATGCTTGCTGGGGAATTCTGGGAGTTGAAGTCCACACATCTTAAAGTTGCTAAGATTGTACATCCCTAGCTTAGAGGGTGAGGAGTCTAGGAAGCCTCTTTACAACTAGTCCATGTTGTTTGACTTTAATGCAGGCAGAAAACTATGTGTGTTTATTTCAGTCAAGTCTTGGAATCTCAGAAATCCACTGCTGCTTCTTCCAAACATGTGCTGCCCTTCATAGCCCATTCCTCAACTAATCCCCTCAAATGTGTCTATGAGAATCATCAGTTGGTCCTTGCCAGGGTTGAGATGTTAGTTCATTCCCTGAGGTGAGATTGGTCTGCTTCACTGACCTGATGCAACTAAGACAGGTGCAGAGATGGAGCTGGATTCTCCTACACATTTGGACAGTAATGAAGTCAAACGGAGCGGGAAGAACATTGACATGGCTAATTTTCCCACCCTGAAAAGTCTACATTAACCTCGTCAATCCTATTTCAGCTTGTAGACTGAGCAGGTGAGACTAGAGCAGAGGTCCCCAACCTTTTGGGTACCAGGGACCGGTTCCATGGAGAGCGATTTTTCTGCGGACCGGAGGGTGCACGGTTTTGGGTGCTGCCTGCATCCCAGGGATGGGGCTTTGCTTGTTTGTGCAGACCGGTTGCTGGCATGCCGCAGCCCAGTACGGTCCACGGACCAGGGGTTGGGAACCCCTGGACTAGAGTATTACAGAACATAGAAGTTGGACCCAAAAGAGGTGACATGATAGCAGTATTCCAATATCTCAGGGGTTGCCACAAAGAAGAGGAAGTCTCCAAAGCACCTGAAGGCAGGACAGGAAGCAACGGATGGAAACTAATCAAGGAGAGAAGCAATCTAGAACTAAGGAGAAACTTCCTGACAGTTAGAACAATTAACCAGTGGAACAACCTGCCTCCAGAACCAGTGAATGCTCCAACACTGGAAGTTTTTAAGAAGAGACTGGACAGCCATTTGTCTGAAATGGTATAGGGTTTCCTGCCTGAGCAGGGGGTTGGACTAGATGACCTCCAAAGTCCCTTCCAACTTTATTATTATTACTATTATTGTTGTTGTTGTATTAAGAATGAGTTAGGGGTCACCAGTGTTCATGTTTGGCATGCAGGTAGTCCTCAACCTATGACCACAATTGAGCCCAATTGCTAAGTGAGATGGTTGTTAGTGAGTTTTGTCCCATTTTATGACTTTTCTTGCCACAGTTGTTAAGTGAGTAACTGCAGTTGTTAAGTGAGTAACAGGGTTGTTAAGTGAATCTTAACAATCGTTGACTCTGCTTCTCAGAAGATTGCAAAAGGGGATCACGTGATTGCAGGACACTGCAACCATCATAAATATGAGTCAGTTGCCAACCGTGTGAAAAACAGTCATAAGTTACTTTTTTCAGTGCCTTTGTAACTTTGAATGGTTACTAACTGAATAGTTGTAAGTCAAAGATTACCTGTAGTGATTACAGCATCAGGCTAGAAACCAGGAGACCATGAGTTCTAGTTCTGTCTTGGACATGAAGCTTACTAGGTGCCCTTCGGCCAGTCCCTCTCTTTCACTCTACAGTAGGAAGGGGGCAAGGGCAAGCCACTTCTGAAAAACCTTGGCAAACAACTGCAGGGACTAATCCAGTTTCCAAGAATCAGACAAGACTGAATGCAAGAAACAAAATGTTCAGAAACCTCTGTTATCAAAACCCAGTCAATGATGGTTTAGTTGTAATAAGATTTGGGCCACAGCAGTGCAGTAATGATATTACTGTATTATGTTTCAGTTCATCAAAGAATAACACAATACAACAAACCACATCTTTGACTGGTGTCCTTAGGTAATTTGAGTTGCATACAAGAACTAGGAATTGTCTGAGTCATGTCTTAAGATATGATATGGATCCAGCAACGTGTTTTAGGTGTTGCCTGATTCCAAACTGGTTCTGGCCAATGGACAACAAAACCAAACAAAACTCAAAATAACGAAGAAGGAAACAAAATAAAGTGTTAATACCACTTTACAATGCCTTGGTAAGGCCACACTTGGAATACAGCATCCAGTTTTGGTCACCACGATGTAAAAAAGATGTTGAGACTAGAAAGAGTACAGAGAAGAGCAACAAAGATGATTAGGAGGCTAAAACATATAAGGAATGGTTGCTGGAATTGGGTATGTCTAGTTTAATGAAGAGAAGGACGAGGGTGACATGATAGCAGTGTTCCAATCTCTAAGGGACTGCCACAAAGAAGAGGGAGTCAAACTATTCTCCAAAGCACCTGAAGGCAGGACAAGAAGCAATGGATGGAAACCCACCAAGGAGAGAAGCAACCTAGAACTAAGGAGAAATTTCCTGACAGTTAGAACAATTAATCGTGGAACAACCTGCCTCCAGAAGCGGTGAATGCTCCAACACTGGAAGTTTTTAAGAAGAGACTGGACAGCCATTTATCTGAAATGGCATAGGGTTTCCTGCCTGAGCAGGGGGTTGGACTAGATGACCTCCAAGATCCCTTCCAATATCATCATCATCATCATCATCATCATCATCATCATCATCATCATCATCATCATCATCATCATCATCATCATCATCATTATTAAAGAAGAAGAAAAGATGGCAAGTCCAACTAAGAGCACCCACACCCCAAGTATAGCATATAAAGGTCTCAACTACCCTAATTGGAAACCTGGGGGAACATCCAGATCTTCTGATCTTTTCACAACACTGTTTGGATGTTCCATATGGCTATCAGGGAGTCCCATCTCTTCTACCTCTTACTTTCTTATTGTAGCCAGAAGAACTGAAAGCTGTTTCCTCCTGCAGAAGATTGGGATAGTGGCAGCAAACTGCCACGTGCCACCCAGGAATTCCTATGCCAGTGTCTGAGTGGCATTTTAATGAAAAAAAAAAAGATTTGAGCTCATTGTTGCTCAAGCACTGCTGGGTCTCTGTCTGTTTTCTAGGTGGCATCTCAGGCATGTTCCTACCCTTGCCAGTGTCCCACACAGAGTCCCCCCTGCCCTCTTGGCAACAGCCTTTCGCTAGATGGCTGTGGTTGCCGCAAGGTATGTTCCCGGCAGCTTGGGGAGCTGTGCTCGGTGCAGGAACCTTGTGATCACCACAAAGGGCTCTACTGTGACTTTTCCAAAACCCAGAAAGACGGAGGCATCTGCTTAGGTGAGTAGTTTGCCCCTGTTCTTCTCCTTTTACAAGAGCATAATTTGCGCGTCATGGATAGTGATTGTTTCACCCCATTTCTGTGCTGGTCCCCCAACTGCCCCCTTTCTGGGGACCAATTTGGAATAGCAATGAAGAAAGGTGATGATTGAAGATGTGGCCTTTCCCCCAAGCATTGGGCTAGGATAGGGTTGAATCAAGGCTCAATAGTATGGCTGGTCTGGCGCCTAGTGGGAAGGGTTTTGTTTTATCTTGCTGTTTTTATTTGTTGTGTTAGATGAGAGAGATGGGGGGGGGCGGGCAGGCAGACTATGGCAAAGGAGGAGAGAGTGAAGGAATTGGCTGTGCCTAGTTTTGAAAAATGGGAATACAGTAGAAGGCGAAATATGATAGCATTTTTCAAGTCCCCGAAGGAATATTGCACAGAAGAAACTTCTTCTGGTATCATCCCAAAACAGAGGGCCGAATAATGTTCTTAATTTACAGAAAGGCAGATTCTTTCTGAACATCAGAAACAGCTTCTTAACATCAGTTTAGTGGAGCCAATGGTGGAGGGGGTTGGTGGGTTCCTTTCGGTGATGTTTTGCAGGTCAAGATTGGATGCTTTGATTTGGATTTCTGCAAAGAATTAGATCTGATGGTTTAAGTGATCCTCCCCAATACTCTGCAAACCCTCCCTGCAAACGTCATAATATGAAACAGTTGCCAAATATGTGGATTTTGATCATGTGATGCTGCAACAGTCGTTTATGAAAAACGGTCATACGTTACTTTTTCTACTGCTGTTGCAACTTTGAATGGTCACTAAACTGAACTGTTGTAAATCAAGGACTACCTGTGCTGAGATGGATAATGGGCTGAAATAATTTTTTTATGTTGTCTCTAGATATGAATGATCTACAACAGTATTTCCCAGCATGGACAATCTTAAGCTATATAGACTTCAACTCCCAGAATTCTTAGTGGTGTCTATGCTGCCTGGGGGATTCTGGGAGTTGAAGTCCAAAAGCTCAAAATTACCCCAGTTGGGGAATACTGTTCAATGCACTTCCCATTTCATTGGTTTTACAAAGCCATAATTCTATGTTCCAAGATTAATCTCTTTTAAAAGACTTTAGTGTGTATGCATTCTGTTCAGAGGGGAAAAAACTCCAAATGAACCAAACCAAACCAAACTAAAGCAAGTATTCATTCATTTCCAATCAATGGGAATTTGAATGAATGGAAATGCATTTATTTTTGTTTTTATTGCTCTGCAGTGGGAGCATTATTTGGCATGGAAGAAGGAGAACTTTAATTCGTTCAAAGGTCATGAAGAGTAGCCAAAAAGAAAGAACATTAATAAAATTGTAAGTTTTATTTTAATTAGATAAGTGGTAGTCTGTGTGTCCATTTTTTAGTACAGTATACTAAAAATGGCTACCCTTTGACATGGAATTTGGCAAGCTGGGGACTAATACACTGGAAATGTATTTGATGGGAAAATACCAAAGGTTACAGACATCAAAAGACTCACTGGATTGTAATTAAAATGAAAGCAGAGAAAAAAAAGGGAAGAAAAATGATTAAACTATCTAAAACAAAGAACAATGTCCTGGTATTAATGATGGATTTGCTGACATTTGACTGCTTTTATAGAAAATATGGCTATATTTATAATAAAATATGCACAGCTTTCCATTCTGTTTAATGCTACCCATTGTAAGTGTGATGATTGCTTATGTGCACTATACACATTCTGTGTTAAACTCCTGCTTACACATACCTTTGTGTTCCTCCTCCAGCTCATGAAGGGTCCTCCTGTGTCCTGATGGGGAAAACCTATCTAAATGGAGAGAGCTTCCAGCCCAGTTGTCAGCTGCAGTGTATCTGCATGGATGGGTCCATTGGCTGCATTCCCCTTTGCACTGATGGGGCACCACTCCCTCCCTCTGATTGTCCCCTCCACTGCTGGGTAAAAGCACAGAACAAGTGTGGCGAAGAGTGGGTGTGTGAAGGAAGCAGTCAAAAGACCCCTTACAAGGAAGGTATGCCTGGTGAGAGGGGAGAACTATGAACAGGGACCAAGAGGAGGCGCTGTAATTGCTGAATCAAGATAGATCTTATGGCTCTGTTGTACTCATCTTGGATGAAGGGTCAAGAGAAAGCAAGGGAAGCCCAAACAATCTTGAGGCATTAGCCATCTAAAATTTATGCCTTTGGCAATCAACTTTGTAGTTAGAAAATGGTAGTGTCTCTGAGTATCCCTTACTCTCTTGGGTATCTGCTTTAGGACTACAATTTCTTTATTTTTGTATTGTAGTGGTTCCTCTCTCACTTTTCTTAGTACTTCATCTCTTGTTGATTTCTTCATGAATCTCACTTGTACTTCTCTTGGTAGTCTATTTTTCCTTGCATAGCTTGAATTCATGCAGAATATCTGATCCGTCTCGTTTTGCATATCTGCTCTATCTGTGTTTAAGAGTTCTGCCAATAACTCAATAATCACCATTTCTATATTTTCTTCACTATTTTCAGGAATATTTTGGAATCTCAAATAATGTTCCGCTTTTCCCATTTCTACCATTGCCATAGCTCGCTCTAGCTCTTGATTTGTTTGTTCTAATTCTTCATTTTTTTGCAATAACATTTCCACCTTTTTATCAATGTCCTCGGTTTTATTTTCCATTTCCTGGATTTTCTGTTCATTTTTGATAATCTTTTGATTTTGGGCTTCAAATTGTGCCTTTATAGCCAGAATTTCTTCACTTACTTTCTCCAATTTGCTTTGTGTCTCTTCATGATTTTTCTGCATCATTTCTTGAATCAGTTTTAATGAGGCCTGCATTTCATCTTGAGCGGTATTTGCTTTTTCACGTTGCAAAATTGTCCCAACAGAACTCTGAGTTGTTGGGCTAGCTTGTCCAACAGAGGGCGCAGAAGAGGTTTTCTTTGCAAGTCTGGTAATATTGGATGTGCTCATTTTGTGGCTCACAGTCTTAAACCAATATCCAAAGTGTAAACAGGAGCCAGCTGTTGCAAGGCAAGTTCACCTCCTCCAGTCACGTCTTGAATCTAAAATGTTCTCTTTCTCCAGATAGTGTCTATTTAGTTTTTGCCAGCATCAACAAGTATAGCTATAAACAGTCTTTTCACTTGTAATCTCAAACCAAGGCGCTATTTTGTTCTCAGATTTTGGTCAAGGTCATTTGTAATGAAAACATTTCTTTTTCTTTTCTTGGTACTGTTGTTTCTTTTTTCGCCACTAGATGACCACCTCGGCTTATTTATCAGTCTCCGATACAATAGCTTCCCTCTTTTATGTTAACTGCCACTTTTGAATAGTCTCTCTGGGGGTCTTTACTCTTTCAGCTTCTCCCCATCAGGGTCTCAACATTTCCTATCACAAGGAGAAGGAAAAGACTTCAGCTCACCCAGACTCAGCTCGTTGTTGAAGATCAGCTGTTTTGCATGGCTTCCCTTCCGGCTGGAGACAACTTGGGCTGCCTCGGCTCTCCTGGCAGCCTTTCTTCCGCCCCTTTAGAGGGGGCTCCAGTTCGCTCAGATTGGTTGCCACCAGATCCAAGCTCCTGAAGTATCCCTCTTTCTTCGTTGCCCCTCCAGGGCAACTTTCCGTCCCTTTAAGGGACGGGCGAAGTGAAACCGGCCTGAGAAGCTGGAGTTCCAGCTTCTTGCGTCTGTCTCATTCTCTGCCAAACTGGAGACATTTTTTGATATGGCAGAGGAAATTGGAATACAAGACGTTTGGAGAGAAATTAATCCACAAAACCGACAATACACTTTTTATTCAAATAGCCATAAATCCTGGTCAAGAATTGATATGATTTGGATGACTTCTGAATTGAGGATGGATATACAGGAGATTGAGATAGAAATAGGTACATGGGCAGACCATAACCCTCTGAAAGTGACATGGAAAGGAATACAAAAAAAAACCAAGATGGACTTTAAACCAATCCATACTAAAAGACAAAGAATTTATAGAGCTAGTGGGGAAAAAATGGAATTCTTTTTTAAAGAAAATAAAGAAGAAGATACATCACTACAAAATCTATGGGATACAGCCAAAGCGTATTTTAGAGGCATAGCTATAACATATATGGCAAAGAAAAACAAACAGAGAAGACAGCAATATTCATTACTAAAGGCAAAATTTAGAAAGAGATAGAATTACAAGGAAACCCACAGAAAAAGACCTTGAAAAGAGAAATGGAAATAATAAAACATAAACTAAATTTGTTGGACTCAGAAAAATTGGCGGAACAGATAAAGTGAGCAAAACAAAACTTTTTCGAAAGTGCCAATAAACCAGGAAGATGGTTAATCTATAAGCTTAAAAAACAGAAAGAGAAGAAAATAATACATAACTTAGTAGATGGGAAAGATTGTTTACAATTCAAAAATGAAGAAATAAAAAAGATAATTAAGGAATACTATAAGGAATTGCATGATAAAGAGGAGATTTCAAGAGAGAGAACAGCTTGATACTTAGAAGAAAATAAACTGCCAAAAATTCCAGAGACATTTAAAACTATGTTAGAAGAAATAATAACAATGATGGAGATATTAGAGGCTATAAAACGACAAAAAATGGGAAAACGCTAGCTTCCTGCAGGGTACCCCTAACCGTAGATACTTAGTTGATAAATACATCCAATCACCCACCCGGAAGGGTCTGTGATCTGCCCTTCTCTTGTTGGCCTGTGCTTTCACCTCTGCTTCGGCCTTAGCTAAGGCCTCTTTCACTGTTCCCCACAACCCGGCTACCCGAGTCATCCAAGCTTGCGGGGTACATGGTATGGCAGTTTCCTGGGGCCACTCGGGGATGGGAACGAACTCCACCCCATGCACAACCAAGAACGGAGCAAACCCTGTGCTGCTGTGCACTGTGTTGTTATACGCCACTTCAGCAAACGGCAACAGATCCACCCAATCCGTTTGCTGAAAGGTGATTTAACTCCGGAGGTAGCGCTCCACTATGGCATTTGCGCGTTCAGCCGCTCCGTTGGTGCAGGGGTGATACGCTGAACTAAGCCCTTGGGACGATCCTATCAGGTGGAGGAAGTCCCGCCAAAAGCGTGCCGTAAACTGCACCCCCGGTCCGAGATGATACGTCGAGGCACCCCATGGAGACGGTAGACGTGTTGGACAAAAAGCCTGGCCAACCGTTGGGCCAACGGCAATCCCTTGCAGGGGATGAATTGGGCTTGTTTGGAGAAGAGGTCGATGACAGTCCAAATAACGGTGTGCCCACGGCTCTCCGGTAGTTCAACCACAAAATCCATGGCTATCTCCTCCCATGGCCGGGTTGGGTCTGCCACCTTCTGTAACAACCCCAAGGGTTTCCCCGTATGGGGCTTTGCGGTGGCACAGACATGGCAGTCCTTTACATACGCCTCCACGTCCGGTTTCACCTGGGGCCACCAAAACTGACGCCGTACTAGATGCAATATTTTCAGGAAACCGAAATGCCCGGCTTGCTTGGCATCGTGACATCGTCGGAGGACTGTTTGTTGCATGACCTCTGGGACGTACAATTTGTCTCCTTTCCACGCCACCCCCTCTCTCCATGTCAGCAGACCTGGATGGTCCCTCAGCCATGCGTCACCTAGCACTGCCGTCTGTAACTCCGGGAGCACTCCACCCACCACCACGCGCGGGACCGCTCGAGCTGCTTCTTGTCGGAATGGAGGCATGATCGCCTGCACTACCTCCTTCTGCTTACTATGGTACTGAGACATGCGCGACAGCGCATCGGCGAGAAAGTTTTTGCCCCCTGGTACATACTTCAAAATGAACCCAAACCGGGTGAAGTACTGGGCCCACTGGACGTGTTTGGGCGACAGGCGCCGTGGTGTTTGTAGTACTTTGAGGTTTTTATGATCCGTCCACACCTCAAACGGTTTCATAGCCCCTTCTAACAAATGCCTCCATGTTGCAAGTGCCCACCGTACCGCAAACGCCTCCTTCTCCCAAATGGCCCATGCCCGTTCGGTAGCAGTGAACTTACGGGACATGTAGGCACACGGTTGTAATACCCCCTGACTGCTCCGACTGCGACTTCACTGTCATCGGCCTGCACCACAAAGGGAGCGTCGGTATCTGGGTGGAGCAAAACCGGGTCTTTAGCAAAAAGGCTTTCAGATCCTCGAACGCCTTTTGACAGGCCATGGTCCAACCCAACGGTTGGCCAGGACGTGGCTTGCTTGTCATGTGCTTTGTCCGCAGCAACTCTGTCAAGGGATGGGCAATGGTGGCAAAGGAGGGAATGAACTGTCTATAGAAATTGGTGAACCCCAGGAAGCTTTGCAGCTGGCGCCGTGTCCTGGGGGCCTGCCAGTCTAACACCGCTTTCACCTTCTGGGGATCCATCTCTATATCGTCTCCTGAAATCCTGTATCCTAGGTAGTCTAAGCGATCCCGGTGGAATTCACATTTGGAAAGCTTCACATACAGATGAGCGTCAAGTAGTTTCTGTAGCACCTGTTGAACTAGGCTCCTCCAGGATGGTGGTGTAGATCAGAATATCGTCCAGGTAGACGAGAACCCCGCGGTAGAGATGTTCATGCAATACCTGGTTAATCAATTGCATGAACACCGCGGGGGCCCCTTGCAGGCCGAACGGCATCACCTGAAATTGGTAACTGCCGAGCGGGCAGTTGAACGCCGTTTTCCACTCGTCCCCCTGTTGTATTCGAACTCTGTAGTATGCCTCCCGGAGGTCTAATTTAGTAAACACTCGTCCCTTGCCCAACTGGGCCAATAGGTCCTTCATCAGAGGGAGGGGAGACAGATGTTGCACACTGACTGCGTTAAGGCCTCAGAAGTCCACACACAGACGAAGCGACCCGTCCTTTTTTCCTTTAAACATGACCGGGGCGGCGATCCAAGAACGGGCTGGTTGGATAAACCCTCTCGCCAGGTTCTGGTCAATATAATGGCATAAGTTCCTCCATCTCCTTAGGCGCCATGGCGTACATCCGGGGCTTGGGTAGTTTGGCCCCCGGCGCAATATCAATCACGCAGT